CCCGGGGGACCCAGGGGGGACCAGCCCTGCCCACGCCGGGGTTTTAGGACTTCTGACTTCACAACGTGAGGTTGATAAATGGTGATTTTTTTTTTTTAACTACCAAATTTGTGGTGATTTGTTACAATAGCCCTAGGAAACAAATATTTTTTTGTCACCACTCGGGAACTGATGTTGGCATATTGCTATTACTAATGAATAATATTAGCAATTACTATTACTATTAACCGAACTCCAAATTGTATATGGATTTCACCATGTGTGTGTTTTTAGATAATTTCCCTTTTCTGTTCCAGGATCTCATCCAGGATCTCCCATGACATTGAGCTACTTTTCTCATAATTGGTAAATAGACCCAAGCAGATGAAATGGAGATTATTCGTGTGGAAATCTGGCCGGGTCTGACGCTCACGCAGCACCGTGCACACAGCTGGAGTCAATCAGTGTCCCTGGAGAGAAGTCGAAGCAGCATCCAGCTGGAGAGAGGATGTCAGGATAGGTGTCCCCCTCCCCCCCGAGGAGAAGCACCCACTCTGGACCCTGAGGATGCCCCTTCTGTGGGCAGGCTGTGGGGAGTGTGGGGAGGGTCTGAACTTGCATGAGGCCACCCAGCAGGTCAGCACCTATGGAGTAGACAGCAGGGACAAACACAGGCCCGTGTCCGCATGTGGTGTGCCCAGTCTGGTGGGATGAAAACCAGCAGACCTGCAAGGAAATGACATAATCTCAGGTTGTGAGGGACCGCAGAGGGAATCGCGGGGTGGAGGTGGCCTCCTGGACAAGGGTGGCCCTTGCCTAGGCCCTCGAAGATGAGAAGGGGCCGCTGGGAGGAGACTCGGTGATGGGGAGCATCATGAGCAGAGAAGGACATATGCAAAGGCCCTTGGGATGAGCTTGGTATGGGATCTTGGACCAGCAGAGAGGCCAGGGCGGCTGGACTGGGGTGAGTGAGTGGGTGGGTGGCAGGGCCATGGAGGGTGAATCAGCAGGCTTTAGTTTGAATATGATTTGGTTCTGGAGGGCTTCTTGCTCATAGGAAGAGATTGAGCCTCCTGCCCCCGGGTCCCAGAGCAGGCCCTGAAACCAGCTCCCAGCCTCCCCCCTGGTTCTGTGAGCTTCCAAGGGCCCAAACACTCTGTGTCCCCTGATCTAGCCAGGCGGTTGATGCTTCCCTCATCTTCCTCTTGGGTAGACGGTCCTGAGGAATGTTGTACCCAGTTCCTTGGGGACCCACACGGGTCACCAGGGCTCACTGCCCTATGCCCCGTCCTCCCCAGCCACTCACTCCTGCTCTGCACCAAACCCTTGCTTCAGGCTCTGTGTTTGGCAGAGCCCAGATGGAGATATGGGAGGAGAGACAAGCCTCCCACTTCGGCATCCTGCTGGCCTGCCCCGTGTCATCAAGAGGGAGTGAAGACGGGGACAGGGACCTCAGACCCAAGCTGCAGGCACTGGGAGAAGGAAGAGGAGCCGCAAAGGATAACTGAAGAGATGTGGAAGAAGGGTGGGGGAGAAAGCCTGCAGAGCGGGGTCTGGAAGCCCAGGAGAGGACACGGCTTCTAGAAGGAGCCAGCGAGGCGCATGAGGCTGGGAGAGGCAAGGACAGAGTTTGGTCCTGGGATGGGGCGGGGCCGGGGGGGGGGAGCCGGGTCTAGCCTCCCCCACACCGCTGAGCCAGTCTGGAGACAGCGCGTGGCCGCAGTCATGGGGCTTCCAGAGTGTGGTAGCAGCTCCGCTCCCGGCCGCCCCCAGGGAGCTGCCAGGTGGGGTGACTGCTCACAAGTGCGGGCACGAGGGAGTCCATGGCGTTTCAAAGGCCAGGAGGCCGGAAAGGGACCCAGAGCCTCATGCTCTGGCTCCGGCACCTTCCGGAAGGGGCAGACTGTGCCACCCACATGCCCATGGGCTCACACCTCCCCAGGGAGGCCTCCAGGAGTCTCACCGCGGGGGCTGTCTTGGCAGCCGTCCCCTCTACCTGCAGGAGGTGGTTGGAGCGAAGCTTCCCGGCATTTCTCCTAGGAAATGTGCTGAGTCTGGGGAGTTAGGTCAGTGAAGGAACAGACTATAGCCTGGAGCACGCGGGCTCTGGGCGGAAGCGGCGGGTGGCCAGACCAGGTGCCGGCCCCGAAAGACCAGCCCCGCCTCTGGAACCTGGGCAGGGGTCGGCATGGGAGGGTCAGGCAGCCCGCTGAGCCCCTTTGTAATGCTGCAGTCCTTTGCTTGCCAGGCACGCTGCCTCAGTTTACCCATCTGTAAATTTGTGGGTATTAGTGCACTCCTAACACTGTGATTTCTTCTGCGGAGGGTGGGGAATCTAACACGGTCTCCATTCCTTGTTGTTGTTATGGCAAACGTAACAGAAATTTACCGTCGTAACCGTCTCTAAGCGCACAGCTCCGCAGCATGAAGCCCGCTCACTCGGTCCTGCAGCCACCCCCACCCTCCGTCTCCAGAACGTTCCATCTCCCCACACGGAGACTCTGTCCCCACCCCCTCCCTGCCCCAGCCCCGGCTCCCACCCTCTCCTCTCTGTCTGTGTGCACGGGACTCCTCTGGGGAACCTCCTGGGAGTGGGGTCCTGTGGGATGTGTCCTTCTGGGTCCGGCTCCTCTCACTGAGCCCGGTGTCCTCGGGGGTCCCTCCGAGTCGTGGCAGGCGTCAGGGTCCCTTCCTGTCTAAGGCTGCATCGTATTGCAGCGTGGGGATGGACCGCATCGTGTGACATATCCATTATATGTCAGTGGACACTTGGTGTGTGTCCAGCCCCTTTTTGGCTGTTGTGAATTATGCTGCTACAGACATTTGTGTTTTTTGTTTCATTGTAATTTTTTTTTTCATTCTAGAGTGGTTGGGGAGAGGGTCCTTGCTGAGGGGGCAGGCTGAGAACGGGAGGTGTCCCTGGCCCTGTGATAGAGGCTCAGCTGGGAAAACACAATGGGAGAGGGGGCAGAGCAGGTGTCTGTGCAGGTGACAGGGACAGGTGGGCTGTGAGGCTCCTGGCCAGGATCTTATAGGGGTTCAGTGAGCTCGGCCATCTGCCCCTGCCAGAGCTCCCAGGGCCCCCGGGGCAGAAGCCCAGGGGGATGGTATGGGGGTGCAGGCAGCGGCTCTAGACTCCGGGTGGGACTCGGCCACTTGCAGTCCAGCAATCTCGGGCTTGCATTTGCCGTCCTGAGTCTTGGTTTTCTCATCTGTAAAATGGGGCTGAGGGGCGCCTGGGTGGCTCAGTTGGTTAAGCGACTGCCTTCGGCTCAGGTCATGATCTCAGGGTCCTGGGATCGAGCCCCACATCGGGCTCCCTGCTCTGCGGGAAGCCTGCTTCTCCCTCTGCCACTCCCCCTGCTTGTGTTCCCTCTCTCGCTGGGTCTCTCTCTCTGTCAAATAAATAAAATCTTTAAAAAAAATAAAAATAAAAATAAAATGGGGCTGAGAACAGCACCCAAGGAGAAGCTGCTGCCCGCCAGGGGCCTGGCTTATACACGTTCGCCTCTGAAGGCCGTCCTGACTCACGGCCGTGGTTCAGTCGGGTGATCTCCTAGCAGTCATTCCATGAGGGCCAAGTGTATCTGTCCTGGGCGTGCAGGGCCCTGTGCAGGTTCCACATGCTGATATGTAGGTGCTCAACAGATGCCTGAGTTAACACGCAGAGGAGGGGTGTGACTGAGAGCCAGCAGAGCCCAGGGTGACAGTGACGTGATGGCCCAGACCCATGGCCCCCCAGCCACCCACCTTCTGTCACGATGCTCTTGGTTCCCATTAGCAGGGAACTCGGGCTCCACGGCTGCAGCCAGCTGGCCCCCAACGGTGGCCTGCAATCCTTGGCCCTGGTGTTGAGGCCGGTCCCCCACAAAGGTCCCGGAGTCTTGCTCTGGGCCCTGCCCTGGGGCACCCTGAGAGGCCCCCCTGCCCCGCGTGCCCCTGCTTGACACATCAGCTGGACATGTGACCATTCAGAAGGTGTTTCCCGTCCCTGGCAGCATGACCTAGCCAGATTCCGAAATCTGGTCTCTGGAAAATTCCAAGGCCTGATTCCAGCCACAGGGAGCCCTGCTAATCCCTCCCCATTCCTCGTGTTATGTAACATTTGGGGATTAATACCGTGGCATCCAGAGAAAGCTGCCTGCATTCAAATCCAGCACTGACCCTTCCTGGCTGCGGAAGCCACAGCTTCCCCGGGCCTCAGTGTGCTCACCTGTACAATGGGGACGAGGCCAGTTCCTGTGACATCCAGGATTGATGTCAGGGTGACATGAGAGAACACAAGGAAGGAGCCTGGAACTGAGTCTGAGCTATGGCTCCCAGGAGGGTCTAAGACTGCCCACCGGTCCTTTCATCCACCACCTCTCCTTGGCTGCCCAGGCCAGGAGTCACACACCCGCCTCTGCCCTTCGGTCCCCAGATTCTGCTCCTTCTCGCTGCCCAGTGACCTGCATATATGATACCCCCAACCCCCAGCTCTGCCCCTCCTGGGTCCCGGCGCCAGGACTCACTCCCTTCCCAAGCAGCCCCAGCCCGAGAGATACCGGGCTTCTTTCTCTGCCCTCTGGATCCGGCCACGGCTCCCCAGTGCCACGAGAACCCTGTCAGGCCCCCACTCCCACTCGCCTCTCCCTCGGAGGCCTCTGAGAGAATGAGACAATTTTCTGACCTCGGTTTCCCGCTCGGGGAAATGGGCACGTCGACACCTCACGGCTGGGCGGGAGGCGCGGGATTGGAAGCGCCGACTTGGCGCAGGGCTGGCGCGCGGGGCGCGGGCTCGGCTGTCACTGGAACTCCTGCCAGTCGGGTGTCCCCACACGCCCACGCCCGCCGCCCTTCCTCGGCGCACACTTGCCCCTCCGGCGCCTGGCCACGCCCCCAGCGCCGGGCTCCGCCCCTCCCCTCCCCGCCCCTCCCCCCTCGGCCTATAAGAGGCACCCCAGCGCCGCGCAGCCCCCAGAGGTGGTCCCGCGGAGGCTGCGCCAGTGCCCGCGCCGAGCGCCCGCCGGGCCCCCGGCGAGATGGAACCCGGGCCGCGGCGGCGGCGCACTTGGTGCCCGCCGGTCTCCGCCTTCCTGCGCGATCCGAGCTCCGGGCGCGTCTACAGGCGCGGGAAGCTGATCGGCAAGGTTCGGACCCCGGCTCCGCGAGTCCGCGGGAGGGTCTCGGGCCGCGCGGGGGTCCGGGCGGGGCGGGGCGGGGAGGGGTGTGCGCGCGCGATCTCGAGCCCCCAGGCTTGACTTCCGCGTGCGCCGTGTGTCGGCGCGAGTTTGGGGTCTGGTGTCGGCTGGCTGGGTTGGGCGCCCGGGTCTGTGCTGTACCCGTCGCCCAGTGTGCTTTGTGCGCCGGGAGCCGGTCTTTGGCGCCTTGTGCTGTGCCCATGGGTTGTGCGTCCAAGAGTGTGGACGTGTTACAGGTATCCGGCCTTTGTAGAAACTCTGTCGTGCTGTCTCCAGGTCCGTATCTGAACCATCTCTGCACTTTCCATGTCTGTGCGCTTTCCGTGTCTGGGTGTGTCGTGTGTCCACGTACTTACTGCACTGTGGTCCGGGGGCTGGATGTATCCAGAGGTGGATACGTCTGTGTACGTGTCCCTGCGTTTTCCTCTGTGTTCCTGTGGTTGCGTCTGCGGGTGTGAGCTGCGTGTCCATGCATCTCCTGCATCTGTGTGTGTATGTGATATGAAGAGGCCTGGCTACCTATCTGCACACCTGTGCCCACGTAGCCGCTGAGCGGGTGCGTCCCGCTCCACTGCAGGGTGCCTTCAGTCGCTGCTACAAGCTGGTGGACATGTCCACCAGTGCCGTGTTCGCCCTCAAGGTGGTGCCTCGTGCTGAGGGCGGGGCCGGGCGACTGCGCTCCCGCGGTAAGGTAGGCCAGACCTTCCGTGGCCCGGGGGGCCCCCACACTTCGCAGGGGGTCCCCAGAGAGAGCCCTGCCCTGGGGGGGTGGGGTTATGCCCCTGGGCCTGAGTACCACGGGGCGTGGACATATGGGGCCACGCCTGCAGGTGGAACGCGAGATCGCCCTGCACAGCCGCCTGAAACACCGCAATATCGTAGCGCTCCATGGACACTTTGCTGACCGGGAGCACGTGTACATGGTGCTGGAGTACTGCAGCCGCCAGGTGCCCCGGGGGCTGGGTGGAGAGGGAGCCCCCCCCCGCCCCCGCCCGTCCGCTGTGCTCATCTGTGTCCACCTCTATGTCTCCGCCTGTGTCCGCACCAGGCCCATCTGTGCTCATCCTTACGCACCTGTGCCCACCTTGGCTCTTGACTCACTTGGGTCTACTTGTGCCCAGTTCATTCATCCGGCCCATCTCATCTCCATCTGTGGCCATGGGGGACCGCTTTACCCCATCAAGCCCGCCTTAGGCCTCCTGAGCACACCTGGGGTCACCTGTGCCCAGCATGTACCCGCGCTGGGTTCATCTCTGATCCCCTGGCCCTTTTCACACTTCCCTGGGCCATCTGGGCCAGTCTGCACTCCTCTATTCCTCTTTGGGTTCATCCGAGCTTACCTGTGTCCGCCTTTGTGTGCTCGGTGCTGCCGCGGCCACTTGCGGGCACCTGCAGTCACTGGCCCACGTCCTGGAGGCGCGGCGGACTCTGACAGAGCCTGAGGTGCGCTATTACCTGCGGGGCCTGGTCAGCGGCCTGCGCTACCTGCACCAGCGGCGGATCGTGCACCGCGACCTGAAGCCCAGTGAGCGCGGAGAAGGGCAGTCTGGGGGCGGGGGCGGGGGGCCAGGCTGTGGCTTCTGCCCTCATAGCCCGCGGCCCGACCCCTCTGGCAGGTAACTTCTTCCTGAACAAGAACATGGTGATAAAGATTGGAGACCTGGGGCTGGCTGCGAGGGTGGGGCCAGGGGGCCACTGCCACAGGTAAGTGAGGGGCTCTGAACGGTGCCTCAGGGGAGGCACAAGTGGGACCAGTTTGGCAGGTGGGCCCCGGCCTTCCTGAGCCCACCATTATCCCCTCCCAGAGTGCTCTGTGGGACCCCAAACTTTCTGGCCCCAGAGGTCATCTCCAGGAATGGGCACTCCTGCCAGTCAGACATCTGGGCTCTTGGCTGCATCATGTGAGTGGGTCGTGGGGAGCCCCGGGCCTGGGGAAGAGGGGCAGGAGGGCCCGGGTAGGGCCAGGTGTGGGCAGGTGGAAGCATGCACAGACAGGTAAGGACAGGTGTAAGCCTCCAGAGGGGAGGTTGAATGGGGGACAGGCGGGTGTGAGCATGCCTAGGACCGATGTGGACAGGTGTGTGCAGGTGTGGGGCAGGTGGGGCGCACCTGCCTGCCATCATGCGAGTGTGCAGGTATGAACAGGGCATATGGGGCATGTACGTGCGAGGGAAGGCAGGTTTGAGTGTGCACAGAGGTGTGGACAGGTGTGTGCAGGTGGTGGATACACAGGAAGATCTGGGTATATACAGTTATGAGGTACATGCGGGACAGGTGCAAGCAGACACTCAGGTTCCTGCCGCCCCCACCCCCCGGGTCAGGTACACAGTGCTGACCGGTACCCCTCCCTTCATGGTGGCTCCCCTGTCGGAGATGTACCAGAACATCCGAGATGGCCGCTACCCTGAGCCTGCCCACCTGTCACCCAACGCACGCCGCCTCATCGCCCGTCTGCTGGCGCCCAACCCGGCGGAGCGGCCCAGCCTGGACCTCCTGCTGCAGGATGACTTCTTCACACAGGTGTGTGCTGTTCCACGGGTGGGGCCCGCCCTGGGGGGCCGAGGCCCAGGAGCCGGGCGGCCCGCGCCGCGTGCTGACCCCCGCTGCCCCGCTCCGAAGGGTTTCACTCCAGACCGGCTGCCGGCCCACTCGTGCTACGGCCCACCCATCTTCACCATGCCCCAGCCTCTGGGCAGGCTCTTCCGGAAGGTGGGCCGGCTGCTGCTGACCCAGTGCCGGCCGCCCTGTGAGTAGCGCACCTGCCCACCCCTCCCCTGCCCCCACCTGCCTGGCCGGCCCGCATCTCACACACCTGTCCTGCTTCGCACCTGCTCGGCAACCTCCCACCTGTGGCAGGGGTGGACGCGGGGTGGCAGATGCCATCCTGCTGCATGGGGCCAGGCCCCGCCCCCCGAAACTCCCTGTGCTTCCCTCAGGCCCCTTCACTCCCAGCGAGGCCTCGGGTCCAGGAGAAGAGGCTTCAGATCCTGACTCCATGGAGCGTGGCCGTGAGGTGAGGCCTCGGGGCAGGGACTCGCGGAGGCACGCGGAATGCGTTCTCACAGCAAGACCCGGCAGAGGGAGAAGTCCGGGGGCGTGGTCTTCAGAGCCAAGAGGATGGAGCCCCTCAGCCACCTCAGGCCTCTCCTGGGGGCCAGGGCCTCCCTCCCCTCACCACTGCTGCTTCTTCCCCAGGCCTCCCTGTTGGATAGAGGCGCTCCCCACCCCGAGGTCCCCGTCCACCTTCTCACCCAAGGGACCCTCAGGAGTGACCGGACGGGTGAGCGGACCCTCCGTCCTAGGCCCCGGCTGCTGGTGGGGAGTGAGGGTAGGGAGGTGGGGGCAACGAGTGGGCCTTGCCAGGGTCGTGGCCCCTCTCCCGGCTTTAACTTTCCCACCTGTGAAATGGGACAGATGGCTGGAATCCTTCCGGGTTTAAAATAAGATGTTCCCAGGTTTGGTAGTTTGGAGCAGGGCTGGGTGGGAGGGGCCCCTCGTGGTGGGGGGACAGACAGGCCTGTCCCTACAGAGATCTGTCTCCCCAGGGCCCCCGGGGGGCCAGAGGCAGGAGGTCGAGGTGGCCATCAGAAACCTGCAGCTCTGCCTGGACCCTGGCCTCCCAGGTAGGAACCCAGCCAGGCCCACAGGGGCCACCTGTCCCTTAACATCCCAGGAAAAGTGCCCTGCTCTGCCCAGGGCCCCCCGGGCATTTCTGGGGCTCCCCTGGGGGACAGAGCTGAGGGAGGCTCCAGGGCACGGAGATGCCCATCCTGCACACCCCAGGGTCCTGGAACCCCCTGCCCCCCACGCCTGCCCCTCCTGGGTCACTGTCCCGGGAGCGTTCTCTTTCTCAAAGGACTCAGTGGGGTTCTTCTTATTCTTCTGCTTCTGTAGCGCAGAAGGACCCTGGACGTTAAGACTTCCATCAGTTGGAGCCAACTCTTACTCACTGAGATGTCTTAAAGAAACAGCAAAAGATACTTTGAGATTTACAGGGGAGGCAGCCGGGAGAGTTCTGCCTGCCGCTCCCCCAGCTTCCCGGGGCCACTGGATAGCCCGTTTTTTCACTAATGCCCTTTTATCTCTGCCAGGGTCTGATCCAGGATTCCCGAGGCCATTGATTGATTTGTTTTTAACGCACACTTTTTCTTAATGCAATCCAGCAAAGCCTGTAGAGTCCGGGTGTTACACACGGTTCAGAAGGGCTCCTCTCAAGAGGCGGCGGGTGCCCCCCAGCCCCTTGGCGTCCCCCCGCCCCCGCAAGGCAAGACTTGGTTTTCTGCCCCCACCCCCGGACTTTGCTCTACATCTTCTGTGTCTCCACTGTTCCTCCCCCAGCCCCCACCCCTGGAGACCCCTTGCTCAATTCACTTCATTTTTGTGCCCAGCCACACAGGACCCCCCGGGAGAGCAGCGGCCCGTTCTCTGGGCCCCCAAGTGGGTGCATTATTCCAGCAAGGATGGCTTTCGGCTATCAGCTGTCGGATGGGGGCAGTGGTGTCCTGCTTCGGGACGGCACGCACATGGCCCTGCGCCCCCCGGGGGAGTAAGTCATGGGCTCCTGTCCACCCCCCACCTTTCTTCAATCATTCCTCAAGTATTTATTAAAATAGCGCCTACTGTGCGCGCCCGTGGGGACTCCCTGCCTGCTGGAGGGGGGACAATGCTGCACAAGTAACCAAGGTGACTCCGGGAGGCAATTTTCTGAAGAAACGAAGTGGGTGAGGTGACCGACTCGGGGGGTGGAGGGTTAGGGTTGTGGAGGGGCTTCTGAAGAAGTGACATTCAGGCAAGACACAAAGGATGAGAAGGAACCCAGCAGGAACAGCGTCTGAGGCATAGGCATCAGCATGTGCAAAGCCTCCTGAGGTGGGATGCAGCCGTTGGGTGTGAGGAACGGAGGGGCGTGAGGACACGGGCCTTGACGGCCACTGTGGGGGTCGGGTCAGGAAGGGTGGGTCCGAGTCACACGTTCAACGTGACCTGGCTGGCAGGGAGCCTCAGGGAGCCTGCAGGGAGGTGGCTGGACTAGTCGGGCAGGGAGTGGCCGTGGCCTGGGGTGGTGGCCTCGGAGGGACGCCAGGACGCTGGCATCTGGACTCCCGTTGCCGGCAGGAAGGTCGGAGTAGCCGCTAGGCCAGATGGGACGGTGGCGGAGGGAGCGGTCTGGGGGCCGGCCGGGATCAGTATGGACACGGCTCCAGGGGGCCGGGGGTACGGAGAGAGGTGGGTCAGTGCGGAGCTGGTCTCCAAACTCCCCTCCAAGGGGGCGTGGCCGGCGGGAAGGCGTCCTCGGGCCTCGAGTGCCCAGGATAGAGGCCGTGACAGCGGGCACCACCCTGTGCCGCACCCCCAGCTAAGTGTCCTACGTGCCTGCCCGGGGGAAGCTGGAAACCTTCACCCCAAGGGACGTGCCCAGCCCACTGGATGCCAAGCTGGCCGTCCTCCGGCTCTTTGCCCGCTGTATTCAGCAGCGGCTGCGAGAGGTAAGGGCCGGGTGGGGCCGGGCCGGGCCGGGCAGGTGTGGACGCCCCCGGCCCTGAGACCCGCGGGGCTGGGTCTGTGTACAGGAGGGGGCCCGGCCCACGCCCACCCCGCCGGCAGCCCCCAGCCTCTGCCTGCTGCGCGTCCTGGCGTCCGCGCGGGCTTCGCTCCCGCTCTTCAGCGACGGGACGGTGCAGGTGAGCGCTTGATGTGCCCTCGTCCTCGGGGGGCACGCTGGGAGCACCTGCTGTGGGGGGGGGCGGCCAGGAACAGTTGGCTTCGGTGGGGGTGGGATGTTGACTCCTAAGTACAAAGACTGCAAAATCAAAAATGTCTTTATGTGCCGGCAAAATGTAATTTCGGGCCATCCTCATGGGGTTGCACCTCGCAGCCGCCCAAGTTATCTCAGTGGAAAATCATTTCTAGATTGAGGCTTCCCTGAGCAGTCCCGGTGATGGCTGACAAATCACAGCCAGTCCTGAAACAGACTTCAGAGGCAGTCCTGTACAATACTTCCGTTGTTAGTTTAAAAAATTACTATTTTGTGTTACAGTAAAACCTCCCTCTCTGTTCAGACTAGAATGTGGCTAGCATGCTTGCCCTGAGCTGGGTCTCAGCTAGAGAGGACATCCGCTGGGAAGCTGGTTTTCCCAGGTCGCAGGATTCAGGGTGGGGGGTCTCACGGGGTGGCCCTGGAAAGGGGAGTCCCCATCTGAGCCCCATTGCCTCGTTGGTACAGTAGAGCCCTCGGCCCCTGCTCCCTGAGCTCCTGGGGGTGCGGCAGCGCTGAGACCCAGGTCAGGGGGCTGTCAGCCTCGGTCCATTTGTCCTACCCCCTGGAGCGCTGTGGGGAGGGCACGGGGGGCCCCCTCTCCCTGACCCCGGCTCCTCACCCCCTGGCAGATCAGCTGCAGTGACGACCAGACTCACCTGCTGCTGAGTGGCCGGGGCGAGGAGTTGCAGTTCACAGTCTGGGAACGCGGCCAGCCCAGCACCTCCTACCCCCCCGGCGCCCTGCAGAGTCTCGGCTCTGCCCCGGCTGCCCGGCTGCACCTTGTCCACGCTCTCCACATGCTGCAGAGCATCTAGTGTCCCCCGCAAGGGGACCAGGCCCCCGGCTCCAGTTCCGGGTCTCTTGTCTCCCCAGAGGGGTGTCCCTGGGGACGGCCCAGGGGAGCATGGGAGGTGGGGGGTCCTTGCCTCAGGTCATGACTGTGCAACCCAGACTTTTGTTTGGCTTTGTTCTTGTTTTCATTAAAGAGAAGTTGACCATCTAGCCAGCTGTCTGCCTCTCTGGTGGAGTCTGAGATGCGTTGGTGGGGGGACACTTAGACCGGCAGGCTCTGAGCCTACTGCCCTTTGTGGCAGACACAGATGGGCCTGATCTCCGCCAACACAAGAATTCATACCAGCGTGGGGTCGTGCCGCGACCAGAGCACTGAAGCATGTGACGTTTGCTCGATGGCCGAGCAGCAAGAAAGTGGGTGTCCGCACTGGGAAATTGGTGACCGTGGTCTGCAGGGCGACCGTGCTCTGGCAGCCCCGGGCTGATCAAGAACTGGGCCTTCTGTGCAAGGTATTCTCAGAAAGACCCGAGGCCAGGAAGGAACCGGCCAGCTAGCAAACAGAGCGCAGGGACAGCAGAGATTCGCGACTTGTGGGGTTGGGGAAGCCAAGAGACAGGGTTCTAAATCCTCCAGGTCAGGTTCCTGGGGGAGGAGTTGACTCGGCAGGTTACAGACTTCTCCACCTGCCCCCCAAATAGAGGTCTGAATGTGTATGAGAGGTACTCAGAGAAACATGCACAATGCATTTATGGATGTTGAGATTTTTTTAATGTGTAACATTGTTATAGTTTTGTTTTTAGAAGACGCTCATCCTTAGACAGTCCTTCCCAGCAGGGGGCGGTGCTGCCTGCCAGGGACCCCTGGCGATGACTCGGGGCAACTGTGATTGTCACACTGGGGGCACTGCTTGCACCGAGTGGGTGGGGACCAAGGAGGCTGCTCAGCACCCCCCAGCACCTGGGACACCCTGATGTCCGCAGGGCTGGGGAGAGACCCTGCTTCAGAGAGAGAAACTGAAGTATTTACAGGCCTAATGCTGCATTTCTAAAAGCACGTTTGCTTTGTAATCAGGGAAAAAAGCAATAAAGATGCAAAGTGACAGTTTTGGGAGAAACGGGGAGTCCAGTGCCTACACAGCACCTCACACACAGCATGAGCCCATAATTGTCCCTGTCATTGTCCCTTGGCTGGGGCTCACACCGTGTCCATCGGGAGAGAGGCCACGGGGGGGTAGGGGTGCCTCTCGGACAGAGCTGCAGCACCACGCGGGATCCTTCACAGCCCTGCTGAGGACCCCATGTCCTGTGGGCGCACCTGCCTGCAGGGCGGGGGTCGGGGGAACTCCCAGTGGGATGTAACTGCCTGGGGCCGGAACCAGAGCCCGGGCCTTGGACGCCCTCCAAACAGGGCTTTTCCTTCTCACCGACTTACTATCAATTCCAAAAGTAAAACGAGGATGCCATCTATTTGTGACAAACTGCACATGGACAGAGCCACAACCTTCGTGGGGAGGTCACAGGGTCACCTGGTTCTTTCTGTTTACGCACCCTTATGTCCCCCTAGAAAGGGAGGCAGCCATCAGTGTGACCTTCCTTCCCCGCCCCCCCCCCACCAGCCACGGGCCTGGATGCATTTCTGCATCCGGCTATAAAGGTCTGGTGCGAGGACGAGGTGCAGGGGAGCTGCCGGTCGGGGCCTGGGGAGGCGACGGAGCGAGCGGTGGATGGGTCAGGGAGGTCACATGCCTTGGTGTGGCCTGACGTGGGAAGAGAAATTGTTTTGTGTAAAAGAGGGGCAGGAACTAGGAGAGCCCTTGGGGAATCTGGGAGGAAGGGAGTGTGGGTGAGAGGAGCCGGCAGAGGGAGAGAGCGAACACCGGGCACATACCTCCTGGTCTTTTTGTCCTTTTATTGTTACCGTTGTTGTCATTGATGTGAAATTCACATACCGTGCAATGAGCCATCTTAAAGTGCACAACTCAGTGACACTGAGTGGATTCACAACGTTGTGCAACCATCACCTCTGTCGAGTTCCGGAACATGCCCTCAGCCCAAAGGAAACTCCACCCCCATCAGCCGTCACCCCAACCCTCCCCCAGCCCTCGGCCCCCACGAGCCCCCTTCCCATCCGCGGATGAGCCTGTCCTGGACGTGTCACCCACGTGGACTCACACCCCGTGTGGCCTTCCGTGTCTGGTTTCCTCCCCGAGCGTCGTGGGCTCGGGGTCCGTCCCCAGGGCTGTGCGTGTGGGCGCCTCGCTCCTGCTCGTGGTGGAGGGACGTGTCCGTGCACGGTGGATGTGTTGTGAATGTGCCCTTCATCTGTTGATAGCATCGTGTTACAAAAGACAAAAACCCCTCCTAACTGTTAGGAGCAACATGAAGGATGGGCTTCTAAGGCTGAAATGGTCAGAAGAGATGGTTGCAGGCTGGATGTGGGGCTCAGACAAAGGTACGGTCTCCATCTGCCCCTGTCTTTTTCTCTCTCTTTCTCCATTTCTTGTGCTACCATCTGTGGTTTGGACTTCACTCATTAGCAGGCTCCTGCGGCATGGTGACAAGGTGGCCCCTGGCACGGGCTGGAGCTACCAGCTCAGCAAACTGGGGGAAAGAGGGCAGCCAAACTCTCTGGTTAGTGCTGGCAAAAGTCCCAGGTTGAAGCCTATTGGCCAGGCCTGAGCTACATGACCTCCCCCTGCCAGCCGAGTCACCTCGAAGGAGAGAGGGGAGTCCAGGAGAGGGGGGAAGGGATGCTGACATCCCGGGATCATATTGCTTTGCCCTGGTCTTCTGTGGGCAGCCTCCAGGATGGCCCCCCACAGTCCCAGTGTCCTGGTAGTCACACCCGTGTGTGGACCCTCTACAGGGACTAGCACTGGCCTGGGTAACCAATAGGATGTCAACAGTGACAGTCTGTGGGTTCAGAGACTCTATCGTAAAAGCTGTAGGTTTCTGCCTGGCGGTCTCTGGGGTCGCAGGCTAGGGGGTGGGTTGTACTGCTGTGCCCTGCGGATGCCCAGGTACTGCTGGGCAGGGGCCCACGGGGTGAGCCTTCTGCCAACAGCCCCTGTGGGCAGCCTGCCAGTAGGTCCTCCAGCCCCAGCTGAGCCTTCAGACCAGGCAGCCCCAGCTGGCCCATGTGTTGACTGGAACCTCATGAGAGACCCCGAGCCGGAACCAGGCAGCCAAACCGCTTCTGAATTCCTAACCTGCAGAAACGATGAAGGAAAAAGACAAGTGTGTATTGCTGCATCGAGTCACTTGCTTTGGGGCTGATTTGTTACCACCCAGCAACAGCTAACTGGTACACTTGCCAAACATGCAGAGGACCCGCCCCATTTCTGCCCAGACCGCTGTTTCTGGGGAAAAACGACCGAGCGCCCTCAGCATGTGTACCTGCCCGCTTGCGCAGTGCCCACCTAGAGCACCAGCCCCCACCTGTGTGCGGGCACCGAGCCGCCAGCCGCGCCGGCACAGTAAATAACCCGCCCACACAAAGTAGTAATTGCGTGACCTCCTGGGCCAGCTCTTATTCCGTGGGTGAGAACTTCAGGAGCGGGCGAAGTGCCCACGCTGCCCCCACGCTGCGAGTTTCTGGAATCTTCTTCAAACAGGGTAACTGTGCACCTCAAGAAATAAAGTCATTAACCTCCCCTTTGTGGGTGTTTGCAAAGGGTGGAGGTTCAGGAAATGGCAGCCAGTGCATGCCGGACCGGAGCTTTTTTTCTTTTTTAGAGAAAGCCACGGAGAGCACGGTTAACGGGAGGATGCGGGAAACTTGGCATCCTCCGCGCCCGGCCTGTCTGGACCACGTCCCCATTGGTCTGTGGGGGCGCGTGATGCAACGTCTCCTCCAATCACCAGCAAGCAGGGAGGGGCCAGGCGGCACGGCCGCGCAAGACGTGGTTGGCTGCTGCCGTGGCAACCGTGTGTGGCGTCATAAAGCGTTGCCGGGTCCAGGTCCTGGATGCGGGCATCTGGTTTCCCCATCTGCTCTAATTGGTGCAACTCGCCTTGGGGTCGGGGGCTCTCCTCTCCCCACTTAACAGATGAGGACACTGAGGCACGTGGGTCACCTCGATATGGAACTGCGGGGAGGAAAGTGTGGCTACAGGCCGGTCCACCCTGACCCCTTCCCAAACGAGGAAGTTCTAAAATCCCGATGATGCTGAATGAAAACAGGCCAATGCCAACAGATCACACATACTGCAAGATTCTCCTGATACAACATTTAAAAAAATTTTTTTAAATATTTTATTTTATTTTATTTTATTTTATTTTTTTGACAAGAGAGAGACACAGAGAGAGAGGGAACACAAGCAGGGGGAGTGGGGGAAGGAGAAGCAGGCTTCCCGCCGAGCAGGGAGCCCGATGCGGGGCTCGATCCCAGGACCCCGCGATCATGACCTGAGCCGAAGCCAGACGCCCAACGGCTGTGCCACCCAGGCGCCCCGTGATACATTTTTCAAATGACAGCTTTTTAGAAATGCAGGACAGACTCATGGTTGCCAGGGGTTATGATGGGGGTGGGCGGGAGGGAGGGATCCCGAATTTCCCCAGCTGGTAACATTGTGGACAACACACATGCGTGGGTGCGAGTAAAATGAAAAATGTGAAATTGGAGTAAGGAAGGGGGAGTGTGCGACTCTTGATCTTGGGGTTGTGAGTTCGAGCCCCACGTTGGGTGTAGAGATTACTTTTAGAAAATTAAAATAGGTGTTCTAAACCAAAATTGTGTGCAGGGAATGGCAAAACAGGGGAAGGGGATTAAAAGGTACAAACTTCCGGTTATAAAGTAAGTCACAGGGGTGAAAAGTACAGCATAAGGAATATCCAATAATATTGTAATGTTGTATGGTGAATGCACTTACTGTGATGAGCATTTCATAATGTATACAATTGTTGTACACCTGAAACTAATATTATATGTCGACTATACTTCAGTTAAAAACTTTTAAAAATCACCGGATTAACAATTTTCAAAAATGTGTGCACCAACATTCATAGTAGCTCTGTTCAAATAGCCAAAAATGGAAACACCCCAAATGTCCATTGACAGATGGGCAGATACACACAGTGTGTCCACCACACACGGGAGCATCACTGGGCTGTGAAGGAGCGAGGCGCCCCCACGCGCGGCCCCGGGGATGGACCCGAGCCCTCGATGCTCAGGGAGGGAACCAGACACGGAAGGCCACACGGGGTGTGAG